AGAATCATTAAGCTGATCTTACCGTATTCCTATTTAAAAGGTCATTCATATTTCCTTTTCCGAAGTTGACCTTAAACATATTGTGCCTAATCCAGTTTACGTACTCCAGTTTTTTGTTGGGAATGTAAATGGGTTGGTTCCTGTCTGATTTGGTGAAATTTGCGATCTACTTCCTTGAACTGGCTTCCATCACCTCATCCCCCTGGCCCGAACCTTTAAACAGACAGGCGTTAGATAGCTGCCATATTACCACTAAACAGGCAAAAACATGAAGAAAAGGATCCATCCAGACCAGTTACGTAAAATCTGATATGGGACATTAATTGGTCCCTTCTTAACTTGTTTTTTTTTTTTTTAACTGATTCTTTGAGTGCGGAACTCTTTGCAAATACTGCCTTTGGAATACCTAATAACGTTATTTTCTATTGCTATGAAGTTGTTCGAAATATCTGAAGTATGCCTTATTTGACACTTTCACCTTTCTCATGATGGCCCTGATGATTGGGTAAACGAGGATTGATTCGACTTCACAACCAAAAATTTGTTCTGAGGATTTACAAGGAAGTTCTATATAATTTTCTGTCACATTTTCTATCTCGGCAATGGATGACCAGGAATGCTTTGTGGATGTGCTCATTTTCTTGCTGATGAATTTTTGAATTAAAGTAAAAGATGAGAATAAATTTTTCAAATAGGCAGAAGAGAGCAGACTATGGCAGAATGGAGGCTGCCTACTCATGTTGGTTAAAAGAAACCCTATGAAACTAATGGCGGTTTAGGAACATATCATAGATCTCTTTCAACGCGGGTTCACCAAAACCCACTATTTGACTGAACTGGCTCAAATTTTAATCATTGAAAGCCACGAGCCATCCCACAACCTGTTTTTGATGCTGCAGACTTCCTCTTTTTGCCCCTTCTCCTATTTTAAATTTAATGATGCCGTGTGAAGACTGATGGTGTTGTAATTGGAAAGAATGCAATGCCCATTTTATTTGAGTTCGTTTTCCCTGTAATGCAGAAATTAGCCTTGATAATAGACTACACTGATAAGTTGGCGGCTGAGAAATATAAATTTGGCATTTTTTTCGTCTGAATACCTATATGTTAACTAGCTGCTTCTGATGCCTGCGTTTTGCTGATTTCATGTAGCTTGACACGTCATCTTTTATGGAAGAATTCGGCCTTCCCTCTAAGACAAGAACCAAAGATGGATACAATCCCCTGTTGGATGATTTCAAGAACACTAAATTTTATCTGAGTGTTCCAACACATAATACCAAATAGACATCTAGCAGATTGAAGAGACCCGGGGTCGAGACTGAAAATGGCGTCACTTTTGATGCTTCGAGATCGAAGAAAAATTAGATCTTGCTATATTCTGGATGCCAACATAAGATGCCATTCTTCTGGTTTGCATTTATTCGACACAGGAAATTGACATCAAGAGTTCAATTATTGAAACCCGGACTATTGATTACTTCAACTTCATGCAGATAATTTTTATTTTTTTGTTTCAGTGAAGTTATTGTGCTTCTCATCTTCTAACTATTGTTATATTTTAGTATTAATAATTACAATATAATACGAGGAAACTGTATCCAAGATCAACCCATGTTGAGAGGAGGTTTGCAATCCACCCTTCATTATCAATGTAAGACATGTTGCAACTCTTGCCGGCTTAGGGCCTGTTAAGCATGCTTTTGCTTTTACTTTTGCTTCCTATAGAAGAGTTTTTGGATGAAGTTACCTTAATTTTTGTTTGAGAATTAATTTTGAAAAGTACTTCCAATTTTAGAATTCCTTTTAGAGGAAAGTTACTTTAATTTTTGTTTGGGAATTAATTTTTAAAAGTACTTTCAATTTTAGAAGTGCTTTTAGAGGAAGTTACATTGGACTATTTTTCTCTAAAAACTTTTCTAACTACCTAAAACACTTTCCTAAATTAGCCAAACGGATTCAAAAGTAGCTTTTGAGTTTTAAAAGTTCCTTTTGATTTTTCAAAGTCGAAATTACAAGAATCCCTACTTTTCAAGATTCAANAAGCCGCACATCAATATAACTAGTGGAAATTACAGAAATCCCTACTTGTCAAGAGTCAAGTTCAAAAATCAGATGTCAAGTTTTAATTTTCAAAAATCAGATATAAAATATATAGGTACAGGTTTTTTTTATATATTTAATTAAATATTAATAATTTGTTAAAAAAATCAGATGTTTGATATTTAAATATTAAATATTATACATATAAATTTCACCTTCAAACCCTAAAAATCATTTACCACTCTTATCTCCCTATTTCTCTCTCTTCCCATCGCCTCTCTCTCTCGTCTCTCCCTCGCACGTGGCCGCTGTCGACGAAGATCACAGCGGAGGGTGCTGGCGGTGGTGCGGTGACGCGTACCTACTCTCATCGGACTGAAACCCATCCCAATCGACGACGACAAGCGGCGGCAGCAGCGTTGCCTCGAGGACCTAGCTTCTCTCTCTCTTCTCAACCTCTCTACCCTCTCTACCGACGTTTGAACGACCTTATTTGACTGCTGCAAGTGACGCAGCAGTAGCATCGCCTCACCGCTCGAAGCGGCGCAGTAGTAGCGTTGCCTTAGAAACATCGGCAATGCTCTATTCCCTCTCGAATCTGCAGCGCCTCCTAGATTTTTTGGACGTTTTTCATTTTTTATTCATCTATTATGCAGTGGGTGTGGTGGTCGACAGTGGTGATGGTGGTTGTTGTGGCGGGTACTTTGTGTGTGAGTTGGTATAGGGGATGTAATATGGTTGTGGTTGTTGTAGATTGGATTCGAAGAAGTGAATTGGTGGTTGTGGTTGTTGGTGGTGGTTGCAGTCGCGATCGCGGTGGTGAAGTGGGACGAACCATGTAGCAGTCGCGATGGTGGTGGATCTTGCTGATGGTGGAGTGGTCGTTTTTTGTTATTGTTGTGGTGGTTTTGTGGTCGGGTCAACGGCGGTGGTCGTTTGAACTGTGACTTTAAAATTGATAATTTGTAACTAGAAAAATAATCTGTGACCAACAAATTGAAAACACGCGACCTGTGACATATAAATTTTTTAATCTGTGACCAAATAATTTGGAAATCTGTGTTCGTGTGACCTTCTGTGGCTAAAAATATAATCTGTGACCTTAAAATTCGGTTATCCGTGACTAAAAATATAATCTGTGACCAACCATTTTGTTATCTGTGACCGTGAAAAAATTTGTGACC